CGGTGAATAATGTCGCTAAAATCATCAAAATACCGAATATCGGGAGGTACCGTTATATGGGGGCTATACCAAAACGTGGACATACATGGCCCATTTTCTGTACTATGCTGTAGTATCCATTACGAATGTTAAATACCAAATTTGAAACAATTCCGGTGAATGATGTCGCTAAAATCATCAAAATACCGAATATAGGGAGGTACCGTTATATGGGGGCTATGCGAAGACGTGGACCTACATGGTCCATCTTCAATACCAAAAGTCCTGCAGAAATAACATATATTTGAGAAAATTTTTTATCAATCTACTTCATTTCGTTCGGAAGCTAGAGTAGTTTACACAGTCGGAGAGACGGATAGACGGACGGGCATCGCTAGATGGTCTAAGAATTTTACGCTGATCCAGAATATATATACTTTGTAGGGTCTATTATAAATATTTCGAGGAGTTACAAACGTAATGACAAACTTAATATACCCTCCATACTATGTTGGAGGGTATAATAATGTAATATAATAGAATGGTAGAGGGTATAAAAATTTACAAACGTCTGCTGAGTGGTGCCACAAGGGTTAAACAATGCTTATCTTCCCAAGAAGTTAAAAAAATAAATAAATTTTACTGTATGAAGTCATTCTTAAATTTCATATACGACAGCTGATCCCTGTCGAGTTTATTAACTTTTGTTACCTCATAAATTATAGTTTCATTTTTCCAGGGACTTAGTCATGGCTGGAGATACCAGTGTGGAGAGAGTAAGGAATTTACCTTTGATTCATCGACACATTCGAGGAAAATTATTTTAGTTTCCGCTTAAAGAAAGGGAGTATTTCAGATTATTTTTTTCAGTACATACATGTATATGTGTTTGTAAAGAAATAAAAATTAATTAAATAATACCACACCCTACACTCATATTGCGGTCAAGGCGTAAGGCCCGCAAAATTATTAATAACATTTTCAGAGGACGATATTTTAGGAATATTTTTAAATACCCTCCACCATACTATGGAGGGTATATTAACTTTGTCATTCTGTTTGTAACTCCTCGAAATACTCATGTCAGACCCAACGATGTATATACAGGGTGAGATAAAAAAAAAACTGCAACAAAGTCCAATGCCATAGTTTTTTTTTTTTTTAATTTTATTGAATGAAAGCAAAAAATGTCGGAAATAGCCTCAAATTTTAGAATAAGTTTAGATTTGTTCGAATTGATCACGTTTGGCACGAATTATGGCCTTCAAACGGCCACTGAAACCGTCATTGTTGATTTACAATCTGCTGGACAATGAATGTTTTCTCATCGGAGAAAACCAAATTCGGCAGTTCACCACTTTCGGCCAAGCGAAGCATCTCTTTAGCTCTTTTGAGACTATTTTCTTTCTGTTGCGGTATAAGTTCTTGCACTTTTTGGAATTTCAATGGCTTTACCCCGAGCTTCTTTTTCAAAAATTGCCTAATGGAATATTGCGATATGTTCAGCTCACGAGCCGTTTATCGGCCACTGCGACGCGGGTTTCAATCAGGTCGCTTCTTTACTTTGCGAACCAGTTCTGCTGCTGTTGCTGTTTTCATCCGTCCACTTCCTTGACTCACGGGGCATTTATTGGCCACTGTTCAAAAGCCAACTGTTGATAGGTGGTATGATCTACTTAAAATAAATTATTTTGGTACTGGAGCTCTACAAAATATGCACAGTGGTTTCTAGACCATCGCCACATCTCAATTCCAGATACCAAAAGGGGTCTCAAATGCAAATTTGAGGATATCTGCTATATTCCATCAGTCAAAGTAAATATAGTACAGTTTTGTAGGTTTCGAACAATTATGGTAAATATTTCCAAAACAACCTTAATATCTCAATCTCAGATACAAACAGAGACCTCAATATTGAATTTTGGGATTCCAGCTCTAATCCTTTAGTCAATACCCAAATTCGTTACAACTTAGTGCTTTTCGAACAATTATGGTACACATTTCCGAAAACACCTCCATAACTCAGTTTCAGATACCAACATAGACCTCAAATGCAAATTTTAGGATTCCAGCCCTATCCTCAAAAAAAAAGCAAAATATGTATCCAACTCTCTTCAAATTTCACACGTACTAAAAGTTTTGCTAACACAAGATGTTTTCTGAAGGTGACATAAATCTTCGAAACCCTTCTGGTACATCACCCTCAAAGGGCCACAATTTTCAATACTTTTATCTGTCATAACTGGCGAAGCAATTTTGCGATTCTTTACAACTTCCTGCGAGTATAACTAAGTATTTCTCTCTAACAGAAACCTGAGATGAATATGGAATTTATAGAAATTTATGATTTCGCATAAAATTGGGTTTTAATGGTCGATTTTCTTGTAATTTTGCCCATACCAATATTTTTATCTGTATTAGATGGAGTATGAAAATGAAATACTTCTGGTACCTCACGCACATTTTAAAGTTTTCTTAAAAATTATCACATATCTATAATGTGAAGGAAATAACCAATATAGTCCAAACTTGGCATGTAGCAATATTTATATCATATATATTTAGGTCCGATTGGACAATATTGGACCATTCCTACGGAACCTACTCCAAAGAGGGTCAAAAATTTGAATAATTATAACAGAAGTCAAAATATATTAAAAACCACTAAAGAAAGTCCTAAAGTCGGGCGGGCCGACTTTATGATACCCTACACCACTTTGCGAATTTAGTAGAGCTCCACATAACACTTAAAAGATTTGATGGGAGAATTTAATTATACACGCTATGATTATAATTTAAAGTTCAAAGGACTAAATATGCCGAAGCATTTGTATCTTTTAAATTCGGACTTGTATTGGCCATTTGGTGCAAAATAATTTAAAATCAAATAAAGATATATGTGAGAGCTATATCCAAATCTGAACCGATCTCGATAAAATTTGGCAAAAATATTTCTGAGCTGTATTTGATATATTTCCCTGAATATCGCTGTTACGGAGTGCATATTACGGATTAACTGTTCACCAAGGGCACATCCAACCGAATTCCGTCTAGAAGCAAATACATAGAATTTGGGGGAAATCGGTTCACACGTAGCTATAGCTCTCATATATATGGTTCATCCGATTTAGTTTTGGTCCACTACATTCGTAATATGCACTCCACACGAATGATATTTGGTATCAGATATGTGATACCTGATACAGTCCAGAAATACCTTTGTCCCAATATTCTATCAATATTACACCTCTCTGTACCTCCCCTACAATCGATCAAGATTTTTAATAATTAAAACTTCCATAAAAGGGAAAATAAAAATCTGATTCACTGTAAGTTTCGCACATCCCAATATGTTTTTCAACACAAAATCTGGTATGAAGATGATAGATATCCATCCACTCTTTCCGATACCTCCCCCACAATGGGTCAAAATTTTGAATAGCCATGAAACTCGTAAAATGGTGAAATAAGAATCCGATTATTTTCAAATATTTCTCAGACCAGTATTTTTATTAACACGAAATTTGGTTTTAAGATGGGATAGATCGGTTCACTCCTCCCAGTACCTCCCCCACAAAGGGTTAACATTTTATACCCTCCACACCTCGAAATATACATTTTAGACCCCACAAAGTATATATATATTCTTGATCAGCATAAAATTCTATGTCGATTTAGCGATGTCCGCCCGTCTGTCCGTCTATCCGTCTGTGAAAATCACTCTAGCTTCCGAACGAATTTAAGAAGATTGATAAAATTTCACTCAAATGTGTATTATGTCTGCAGTACTTTTGGTATTGAAAATGGGCCATGTAGGTCCACGTTTTGGTATAGCCCCCATAAAACGGTACCTCCCGATATTCGGTATTTTGATGATTTTAGCGACATTATTCACCGGAATTGTTTCAAATTTTGTATTTGAAATTCGCAATAGATACTCCAGCCTATGACAGGAGATTGTCTGTGCAGGTTCACGTCTTCGTATAGCCCCCATATAACTGTACCTCCCGATATTCGGTATTTTGATGATTTTAGCGGCATTATTCAGCGGAATTGTTTCCATTTTGGTATTTGAAGTTCGTAATAGATACTACAGCCTAAGACAGAAAATTGTCTGTGCAGGTCCACATCTTCGTATAGCCCCCATATAACGGTACCTCCCGATATTCGGTACTTTGTTGATTTTAGTGACATTATTCACCGGAATTGTTTCAAAATTGGTATTTGAAGTTCGTTATGGGAACTACAGTCAGTGACAGAAAATTGTCTGTGGGGTTCCAGGTCTTCGTATAGGCCCCATATATCAGTACCTCCCGATATTTGGTATTTTGATGATTTTAGCGGCATTATTCACCGGAATTGTTTCAAATTTGGTATTTGAATTTCGTAATGGATACCACAGTCCAAGACTGAAAATTGTCTGTGCAGGTCCACGTCTTCGCATAGCCCCCATATAACGGTAACTACCGATATTCGGTACTTTGTTGATTTTAGCGGCATTATTCAGCGGAATTGTTTCCATTTTGGTATTTGAAGTTCGTAATGGGAACTACAGTCAGTGACAGAAAATTGTCTCTGCAGGTCCACGTTTTGTAACCCCCTATATTCGGTATTTTTATGATTTTAGCTACATTATAATCAGATTTTTTTAAGTTTCGAATTTGAATATTGTAACAGCTTGTGACAAAAGTTGCCTATGCTGGTCCATGTCGTCGTGTAGACCCTAATATATTTCTACATTCGGTATTTTTAATATTTTAAAAGAATTAATAATGGATTTTATATTTTTGAAAACTGTTAAATTTGTACCAAATGGTGGAGGGTATTCAAAGTTCCGCCCGGCCGAACAAAAAATCGTTTATAAAATGCGAAGTAGGACTTCGATTCTCTTCAAATTGTACACCACCCAATATTTTTGTGAATACAAAATCTGATATGAACATGGGATATATCGGTTCACTGCTGTCGGTACCTCCCCCACAAAAGGTTAACAAATTTAAATAACAATAAAATAACCAAAATTGATGCATCCCAATATTTTTATTAACAAGACATCTGGTGCTAACATATTTGGCTTATAACAGTGGATTTTCTAAATAGTATTTTTTCGATTTCTATGTAGCTTTACAGGTCTGGATAATAACTTTTAGTTTGTATATTTATTTATTTATTTATTTTTATTAAAATTTATTTTATAAAAAATAAAATTGAAAAAAAAAAAATACTTCTTTTTAGGGTTGTAGGTGTATATATCGTTTTCTCTCAGCACTAGAGTATATTCTATGTCTCCATTCGTATTGGTTCATTAAAATCATCGTATTCCTCTTTGGGCCGTTTCATTGGCAACGGCAAAAGTTGGGCTCCAGAATTTATTGGTTTACTTGATGCCATGGGAATTCCTTCCAAACGTTTCGATAGCTTTACTTCATTGGCATCACAACAGAAGATCAGACCCAACGTCTTGTAATGGAACGTGGCCTGAGCCGACTTTAACCAATCCAATTGGTGACAAATGTCCGTGCAGAAAATCAAATCCTTTTCCTTATAGAACTATAAACAAAATTTAAACGATAATAAAAAAAAAAAATATTGAAAGAAAATTTGATTGACTCACATCACTAAAGGCTGAATTGACACCGATCACAACCACATCGGTGCCGTTAGTTTCCTTGAGCGATTTCAAATACTGCCACACGTATAGGGGGATTTTCTGATTATCCCTGTAGATGACATCGATCATGGTGTAATTTTCACGACATACATTTTCATAAGAAGGTACCGCAATGGAATTCGATACTCCAGCCAAAACATCGTAAATTTCCTTGTCCGCTTCAATGTGCTCCCTCAGAGCCTTCTCATACAGACGCCAATTGCCCGTACGTAGACTTGGCCACCAATCCAATTCTATGAAACCACCAAATTTGTCATAGGATTTATTATATAAATTCGGATCTTGAATTATGGAATGATTTTCATATTGGGAAAATTTCATCCATTCTTGAATTTCGACATTTTTGAAATTTGTGGGTTTAATGCTTAAGGTTGTTACAAAAAACAAAAAAAAAAAAAGAAGAACAAGAACATCAAAAATTGGCTATTCAGTGTTGGGTAGTGGGGGATGAATACTCACCGACGGGCTACAAATTTGTTGGGTATGTCTAGAATTTCCACAGTTGGAGAGTAATTTTGTAGGCGTGTTGGATACTAAAAAGAGAAATTAAAATGTTCTTCAAAAATTTTTTTCTAAAATAGCCACAGAGGAACTGGGGCCGAATTTTCTTTCAGTAGGAAACAAGATTAAAAAAATATTTTTTTTTTTCTACAGAAAAATAATTTTTATCTAAAAACATGTAAGCAAAGGCTACAGTCGAGCGGGGCCGACCGTTGAATACCCTACAACACTATATGAGATACAGAAATTTAACTATATTCTTCAACGAAATTAGCGTTAACGAAATAGTCGGAAGTGCGTCTTTCCTGTATTTGTGAATTCTCCAAAAAGTCACTGGAATGGACATTTTCGTATTTTGTCTACAAAAGTTGGCAAACTATTTCACACATTGAATATTTTTTGATTACCATCCGAAACTGCTTGGCTTTTGCAATGTGCGTTAATCCCCATTCAAATGTGCGTGAGGATCGGGCGATAATTACGACCTGCCGAGAATTTTGCAGTTTTTTGGTCATTTCAACCCCTAAATATATGGCGATCATCTCCAAAACGAGTAGGCTTCTATTCTGACCCTCATCTTATCCCCATGCAAAATTTCGTAAGGATCGGGCCATAAATGAGATCTGTATATGATATCCTGATATCCTAACTACTTAGTTTTGTTAGCTGTAGAAATATTACCAAATGTTTAATTCAAAATGAAAATATGCCAAAAATATGACAAAATTGAAAAAATATGAGAAAATTTTACAAAATCAATATTTTCATCATTAGAGAGATATTTTTATGCGATTTTTTTAGACGTTGTTTCTTTCCTGCCAAGAGGCCATTCTGAATTAATGAGAACTGTCGAAGTCAGTTCAGCCATTCTCGACATATAAGAGATCTTTCAAGCATATCTCCTTTGATAGACATATATATCCCACATATTTTGCTATATATCCGATTTGTTGGATAATAACATCAATGTAAAGGTCAGAAGTAACCTTGCGATGGCTTTGTGATTTCGCCGGGATTTAAAATATTCACGGTTTAATGAAAAATTTTGATTTTTTTCAACACAAAAGATATGGTCTATTTTACCCGCTAAATATTATCCGATGACCACCCAAATTAGTAGGCTTCTTCCCCGCCCTAAACTCTAGCTACATGCGAAATTTTGCGTCGGTTGGTCTATAATTGCAACCTGTGTAGCTACTGCAAAATCCGACATTTTTTCAGTATTTGATCCATTTCAACCCCTCAGCATTTGGCGATCATCTCCAAAAGCAATAGGGTTCTATTCTGGTCCAAGCCCCACCTACATTCTAAATTTCGTGAAGATCGGGCCATAATTGCGACCTGTAGAGTGATTACAAATTAACATGGACAGACGGACAGACGGACGGACGGACATACATAGCTAGATCGACTCAGTTCGGCGAGCTAGGAAGATCCATATATACTTTCCTATGTGGGAAACCAATATTTCGAGGTGTTACATAATTTTTGGCCCAATCAAACTTATAATACCCCCAACACATAGTGTTGTAGGGTATAAAAATATTTTTTCTATAGAACCTCAGATCAATAATCTTGGATTTTTTTAAGAATATTTTTGTAAACATCATCTGACCAATAATTGTGGATTTTTTAAAGAATATTATTCTAAAGAACATCTGACTAATAATCGTGGATTTTTTAAATAATATTTTTCTAAAGACCATTTGAACAATAATCGTGATTTTTTTAAGAATATTTTTCTAAAGTCCATCTGATCAATAATCGTGGATTTTTTAAAGAATATTATTCTAAAGACCATCTGACCAATAATCGTGGAATTTTTAAAGAATATATTTCTAAAGACCATCTGACCAATAATCGTGATTTTTTTTAAAGAATATTTTTCTAAAGACCATCTGACCAATAATCGTGGATTTTTTAAAGACCATCTGACCAATAATCGTGGATTTTTAAACAATATTTTTCCAAAGACCATCTGACTAATAATCGCGGATTTTTCAAAAAATATTTTTTTAAGTACCATCTGATCTTTCACATCCAACCGAATTCAGCCTAGAAGCAAGTACATCAAATTTGCTGAAAATCGGTTCAGAAATAACTATAGCTCCCATATGTTTTATTCGATTTGGGGTTTAAAGTCCCTCATAAGCGTAATATACCCTCCACAACAATATTATTTTTGTACCAGATATCAGATAGAGCTCAGAAATAATTGTTTCAAATTTTGTCAAGATCGCTTCAGATTTGGATATAGCTCCCATATATATATATATATATATATATATTTCCGATTTCAGGGTTATTGTGCACCAAATGGATAATATCAGCCCAAATGAATTGAATATTGGCATTTCCCGCTTGAATTCATTCTAGAAACAAGTACTTCAAAATTGGTGGAAAATCGGTTCAGATATAGCTATAGCTCCCATATATATGTTTCATCCGATTTGGTGTTACAAGTCTCTTACATGGGTAATAAGAACTCCTCTTTATCCAATTTTACGGTTATCCGATTTTACGGTTATTGTTTATCATATATTTAATATCAACCCAAATTGGATAGATTTTTTTTTTTTTATATTCAACCGAATTTTTAAGATTGGTGAAACCCGATACGCTGTATCTATAACTCCAATAAATATTTTTGTAATATAAATATTTTTGGTAATATAATCATCCACTATACAGCAAATTTAATACTAGATGAACAAAAACCTCCATTAAATTTGTTGAAATTCGATTCAAATTGTGACTACTCCATAACCATGATACGCATTCAAATAAGGTTCATAGGTCGTATGTTCTAATTCACATAAATTTCCAACATATATTTTTTTTTTTGTTACGGGAGCTCTACCAAATATGCATAGTGGTGTAGGGTATCATAATTCGACCCGCCCGAATATTGACCTTTCCTTACTGGTCAAAAGCAAAATAACGGAAAAAAATGTTTTTTCTATAGAAAATAAATATTTTTGCTATATAAAACCAATAACAAAGCTGTAAGTTCGGCCGGGTCGAACTTTGAATACCCTCCACCATTTGGAAAGAATTTGGGAATTCTCAAAAACAGTGTGGCTTGTTTGTTCGGTATACCGTAGTATTTTGTTGTTGCAAAGTTTTTAGGCTTTATCCCTTTATTGTTGTTTTTATAAAAACAACGTCTGTTTATTAGTGGAGAACGATTTTATAAAAACAACAAGAAAGGGATAAAGCCTAAAAATTTTGCAACAACAAAATACTACGGTATCCCGAACAAACAAGCCACACTGTTCTATTAATAGACAAGGCACGGTCGACGAAGGGGTTTTTGTTGTAACAGACAAAACAAACTTACATGGTTATGTTACTTCGTTCAGGTTGAACGAAAACATAACAAGTGGAGAAAGATGTAAATGTTTATAAGTGCGGTTGTAAGATTTAGAAGATTTTCCAAAAGAATTTTAGTTTTATTTAATTCTTTGGTTCCTCTTCTATTGAGCATACGATCTCGTCATATGGGTAAAAAAATGTTTTTTTGTCATAGAAGTTATTTTTAAAATAACTTCTGGGGAGAATATCCCAGACAAAAAACAAGGGAACTAATGAGGGAACTAATGGCTCTTTCCGAAACCTAGGTATTCCCTGCCTTACCCCATGGTAAACATTACCATCGTTCTCCACTAATAAACAAACGTTGTTTTTATAAAAACAACAATAAAGGGATAAAGCCTAAAAACTTTGCAACAACAAAATTCTCAAAAACAATAAAATCCGTTAAAAAATTCTGTTAAAATCTTAAAAACTGTTAAAATCTTAAATATACACGACGACATGGACCTGCATAGGTAGCTTTTGTCATAAGCCATTACAATATTCAAATGCGAAACATAACAACAAACATCGGTGAATAAAGTAGCTAAAATCATTAAAATATCGAATATCGGGAGGTACCGTTATAGGGGGGCAATTCGAAGACGTGAACCTGCATAGACAATTTTCTGTCTTTGGCTGTAGTATCCATCGCGAACTTCAAATACCAAATTTGAAACTGTTCCGGTGAAATATGTCGCCAAAATCATCAAAATACCGAATATAGGGAGGTAATATTACATGGGGGCGATACGAAGACGTGGACCTGCACAGCCAATTTTCTGTCGTAGGCTGGAGTATCCATTGCGAACTTCAAATACCAAATTATAAACAATTCCGGTGAAAAATGTCGCTAAAATAATCAAAATACCGAATATCGGGGGTACCGTTATATGGGGGCTATACCAAAACGTGGACCTACATGACCCATTTTCAATGCCAAAACTCCTGCAGACTTAATATACATTTGAGTAAAATGTTATCAGTCTACTTCAATTCGTTCGGAAGCTAGAGTGATGTCCACAGACGGACAGACGGATAGACGGGCGGACATCGCTAAATCGACATAGAATTTAATGCTGATCAAGAATATATATACTTTGTGGGGTCTAAAATTTATATTTCTAGGTGTTACAAACGCAATGACAAACTTAATATACCCTCCATACTATGGTGGAGGGTATAAAAATGATTATATTTGTGTCAAATCCAGTTTCCTATAGCAAGAAAATTCGGGCCCAGTTACTCGGGGCGATGTTTTTTTTTTTCCTATAGAAAAAAATTATTTATAATTTTTTATAGAAAATAAAATAAGCATTGCCCCAAGGAACTACGTCCGAATTCGTATTCTTTAGGAAACCGGAAATTACACCATTCCACAACATACCTGATATTTCGACAACTGATATGCAGCGGCATAATGTATGTTGAGGATTTGTTGTTGGTCAAAGTTGTAGCAAACACCGGCTAAATATTCATAAATATTATTTAAGGGTCTGGCCAAAAGATACGATGCCATGGGTATGCGACACCAGCTGAATTGTTTTGACGATTCATATAAATTCCATTTTATTTTATCGCACTGGACCGGTAGATTTTTACTGAGAATAGTACCATCAATTTGGATGTAACTTGTCGTACATTTGCAATCGATGCTACGTTTGCCGGCGAATTGGCTGGGACTGGAAGATAGAAATATTTGTTTTTTTTCATAATTTGTAAGTAAACATAACTTCGCCATTGCCCAACTTACCTCTGGACACGTATTTCACAATCGGCCGTTATCACTTCATTTTCATTGAATTGATAGGAGAGACCTTCGGTATGGATTAACGCTTTGCGGCTACCAATATTTTTATACAATTTTGGTCTCAACGACTCATCTTGAGACAGGCTAATAGAGCAATAGCCGGAGACCTGTGTTATGGCAAAACAACAAATGCTAGCTATTAGTAAAAATATTTTCAATTCCATTTTGGCTCGACAACTTGTCAGCAGAACAGCAAACGAAGAAATGATGTGCTACCGAAGTTGTATCGTATAATTTATTAAAAACAAAAACTTATTGAGGAATTAATGATAAACAAAATACAAAAGGAAAACAAAGTGTGCTTTAACCCATTAGGAGCTGGAGAGGGGTTAAGCGTAATAATGTATTACTGAACAAAAGCCAATGGAGTTTTAATGGTAGTGGAATAACATTATTACTAGCAAACCAAAAATTAAAAATATCAAGTAAAAAAATAGCTAAGTTCGGCCGGGACGAACTTTTAATACCCTCTACCATTTGGAAGGAACTTGAAATTTTTCGAAAAAAATCCGAAAACCGTTATATGGGGACTATACGAAGACGTGGACCTGCATACCAAATTTTTTGTCATAAGCTGTAGTACCCATTACGAACTTAAAGTAAAAGAATAATGTCGCTCAAATCATCAAAATACCGAATATCGGGAGGTACCGTTATATGGGGGCCCTACGAAGACATGGACCTGCACAGACAATTTTCTGTGTAAGGCTGTAATACCCATAAGGATCTTCCAGTACGAAATTTCAAACGATTCCGGTAAATAATGTCCTTAAAATCATCAAAATACCGAATATCGGGAGGTACCCTTAAATGGGGGCTATACGAAGACGTGGACCTGCACAAACAATTTTCTGTCTTAGGCTGTACTATCCATTACGAATTTCAAATACCAAATTTGAAACAATTCTGGAGAGTAATGTCGCAAAAATCATCAAAATACCGAATATAGGGAGGTACCGTTATATGGGGGCTATACGAAGACGTGAACCGGCACAGATAATTTTCTATCTTAGGCTGTAGCATTCATTACGAACTTCAAACACCAAATATGAAATAATTCCGGTGAATAATGTCGCTAAAATCATCAAAATACCGAATATTGGGAGGTACCCTTATGTGGGGGCTACACGAAGACGTGGACCTACATGGCCCATTTTCAATACCAAAAGTCCTGCATATATAACATACATTTGAGTAAAATTTTATAAATCTACTTCAATTCGTTTGGAAGCTAGAGTGATTTACACAGTCGGAGAGACGGATAGACGGACAGACGACGGGCCTCGCTAGATCGTCTGAGAATTTTACGCTGATCCAGAATATATATACTTTGTAGGGTCTATTATAAATATTTCGAGGAGTTACAAACGTAATGACAAACTTGATATACCCTCCAAACTATGTTGGAGGGTATAATAATGTAATATAATAGAATGGTGGAGGGTATAAAAATTTACAAACGTCTGCTGAGTGGTGCCACATGGGTTAAACAATCCTTATCTTCTCAAGAAGTTTAAAAAAAAAATAAGTAAATAAATTTTATGGTATGAAGTCATTCTTAAATTTCATATACGACAGCTGATCCCTGTCGAGTTTATTAACTTTTGTTACCTCATAAATTATAGTTTCATTTTTCCAGGAACGCAGTCATGGCTGGAGATACCAGTGTGGAGAGAGTAAGGAATTTACCTTTGATTCATCGGCACATTTGGGGAAAATTATTTTAGTTTCCGCTTAAAGAAAGGGAGTATTTCAGATTATTTTTATCAGTTCATATATGTATATATTTGTAAAGACTCATACGCTCATACCTTTGGCACAAAATATACACATTGGTTTCTAGACCATCGCCACATCTCAATTCCATATACCAAAAGGGGTCTCAAATGCAAACTTGAGGATATCTGCTATATTCCTTCAGTCAAAGTAAATATAGTACAGTTTTGTGGGTTTCGAACAATTATGGTAAATATTTCCAAAACAACCTTAATATGTCAATCTCAGATACAAACAGAGACCTCAATATTGAATTTTGGGATTCCAGCTCTAATCCTTTAGTCAATACCCAATTCGTTACAACTTAGTGCTTTTCGAACAATTATGGTACACATTTCCGAAAACACCTCCATAACTCAGTTTCAGATACCAACATAGACCTCAAATGCAAATTTTAGGATTCCAGCCCTATCCTCAAAAAAAAAGCAAAATATGTATCCAACTCTCTTCAAATTTCACACGTACTAAAAGTTTTGCTAACACAAGATGTTTTCTGAAGGTGACATAAATCTTCGAAACCCTTCTGGTACATCACCCTCAAAGGGCCACAATTTTCAATACTTTTATCTGTCATAACTGGCGAAGCAATTTTGCGATTCTTTACAACTTCCTGCGAGTATAACTAAGTATTTCTCTCTAACAGAAACCTGAGATGAATATGGAATTTATAGAAATTTATGATTTCGCATAAAATTGGGTTTTAATGGTCGATTTTCTTGTAATTTTGCCCATACCAATATTTTTATCTGTATTAGATGGAGTATGAAAATGAAATACTTCTGGTACCTCACGCACATTTTAAAGTTTTCTTAAAAATTATCACATATCTATAATGTGAAGGAAATAACCAATATAGTCCAAACTTGGCATGTAGCAATATTTATATCATATATATTTAGGTCCGATTGGACAATATTGGACCATTCCTACGGAACCTACTCCAAAGAGGGTCAAAAATTTGAATAATTATAACAGAAGTCAAAATATATTAAAAACCACTAAAGAAAGTCCTAAAGTCGGGCGGGCCGACTTTATGATACCCTACACCACTTTGCGAATTTAGTAGAGCTCCACATAACACTTAAAAGATTTGATGGGAGAATTTAATTATACACGCTATGATTATAATTTAAAGTTCAAAGGACTAAATATGCCGAAGCATTTGTATCTTTTAAATTCGGACTTGTATTGGCCATTTGGTGCAAAATAATTTAAAATCAAATAAAGATATATGTGAGAGCTATATCCAAATCTGAACCGATCTCGATAAAATTTGGCAAAAATATTTCTGAGCTGTATTTGATATATTTCCCTGAATATCGCTGTTACGGAGTGCATATTACGGCTGTGGGTAACAAATATAACAAATCGGATGAATAATATATATGGGAGCTATAGCTCTATCTGAACCGATCTTCACTAAATTTGACATACTAGCTTCTAGACTCAATTCGGTCGCATGTGCCAAATTCCATCCCATTTGGGCAAATAGTACACGTTTGGTGCACAATAAAAGGTAAATCGGACGAAGTTATATATGGGAGCTATATCCAAATCTGAACCGATCTCGATAAAATTTAGCAAAGGTATTTCTGAGCTGCATTTAATATATGTCCCCAAATATTGTTGTTACAGAGTGCATATTACGACTGCGGAGGACAAAAATAACAAATCGGATGAACAATATATATGGGAGCTATTGCTATATCTGAACCGATTTCGATCAAATTTGGCATTTTTAGGCCTAATTTGGTTGTATGTGCAAAATTCCATACTATTCGGGCTGATATTACACGTTTGGTCACAATAAAAGGCAAATCGGACGAAGATATATATGGGAGCTATATCTAAATTTTTACCGATTATCTCCAATTTCAATAGGGTTCGTCCTTGGGCCAAACAAATGTTGTTTGGAAAATTTCATCTCAATCGGATAGTAAATGCGACCTGCATTTTGTTCACAAGAATAAATGGACAGACGGACTGACATGCATAAATCAACTCAGAAAGTGATTCTATGGAGATCCTCAAAAATTACTATGGGTCTAAATCGCTGCCTTCTCCATGTTACAAACAAATGCACAAAGACATAATACCCCTACCACTATGTGGTGTAGGGTATAAAAATCGAACATTGGCCGAGGGTATACATCTGTCGACAAAACCGACTGATACTTTTAAATTTGCTTTACATATAAGAATTAGGAGACACAATTGCCGGTCATAAATTAAACACTTTGTATAGACATTACCGTTGCGCATTACACGTATCTTGGGAAGATAAGGAAATTTAGGTAGAATGTGCTATAGTGTATGCATGTCTCTCTATTTGTGTTTACTTTTGCTTGGAAATATGTTTTTCCGATAAGAAAATATGGGTTAACAGAATGGACTTCCATGTTTGCCAACATTATTTTCTCAGGTGATAATACTACAACGAGGTATTTATGGCACAAGTGTAGAGTAAATACTAATTCGCCTTTGGTTTAACACCACTTTTATTATACCCTTCACCATAGTATGGAGGGTATATTAAGTTTGTCATTCCGTTTGTAACACCTCGAAGTATACATTTTAGAAACCACAAAGTATATATAGTCTTGATCAGCACAAAAATTCTAAGGCGATTTAGTGGTGTCCGTTCGTCTGTGGAAATCACTCTAGCTTCCGAACGAAATGAAGTAGGTTGATAAAATTTTAATTAAATGTATATTATGTCCGCAGGACTTTTGGTATTAAAAATGGGGTCCATGTAGGTCCAGGTTTTGGTATTGCCCCCATATAACGGCACCTCCCTTTTGTTCGGTATTTTGATGATGTTAGCGACATTATTCACCGGAATTGTTTCAAATTTGGCATTTGAAGTTCGTATTGGATACTACAGTCTATGACAGAAAATTGTCTGGGCCTATCCACGTCTTCATATAGCCCCCATACAACGGCTTCTCCCGATATTTCTCCCGGTATTTGTATGATTTTAGCGACATTAATTTCTGGAACTTTTTAAATTTTGGCATTTGAAATTCGCAATTGATACTACAGCCTAAGCCAAAAATTGTCTCTGCAGGTCCATGTCTTCGTTTAGGCCCCATATAACGGCTTCTCCCGATATTCGGTATTTTGATGATTTTAGCTACATTATTCACCGGAATTGTTTCAAATTTGGTATTTGAAGTTCGAAATGGATACTACACCCTAAGACAGAAAATTGTCTGTACAGGTCCATGTCTTCGTTTAGGCCCCATATAACGGCCTTTTCCGATATTCGGTATTTTGATGATTTTAGCAACATTATTCACCGGAACTATTTCAAATTTAGTATTTGAAGTTCTTAATGGATACTACACCCTAAGACATAAAATTGTCTGTGCAGGTCCACGTCTTCGTATAGCCCCCCATATAACGGTACCACCCGATATTCGGTATTTTGATTTTATCGAC